TAATTCTGTTAATCAGGCTAATCCCGTTAAGGGCCAATCCCATTCTGGACTACGTAATTGGGCCATGGTCAAGGTCCATGGTACCATCAATATGTACTTAAAGAGAATGGTAAATGAAGTTGAGACTCGATTATACACATCGATCACAGTAGGGCAGGCATATCGGTTTGGTTTAACCGAACCATTGTTCTAAAAATCAGCCTAGTCGGCCTAGTTAGTCCTAACTGTAGAGGACTAATTTGCCTAGTCGGCCAAACAATCGGCCTAGTCGACCAAAAAATAGGCCTAGTCGTCCGCCTAGGCATTAGGCTCCCCTCAACCGCCTAGTGAGTTTTAGAAAAATGAACCGAACTGTGCCACACCAAACTAAACTGAATCAAAACCGGACCGTATGTAATTTGGGTTGAGTTTGGTAGTATTTCTTCCAAACCGTATGAAACTGAAACACACCGAAATTGATAAGAACCGAACAAAACCAAACCGAACTAAAAATTCAAAAAACCTTCATATATTATAGGGGTGGGCACGGTCTGCTCCAATATTTTACCAAACTCGTTCCCGTACCGTGACTATTGAAATGATTCGGTTCGGTTCGGTCATAGACCTAAACCCGTGCAATAGGGTTCCATTTTCATACGGGACGGTACCATGTCATACCAATATCAAACAATGCTACTTTTTCCAAGGGTTTAATGAAAAATTAAAATTTAACGATCCTCCAAAAATCAACACAGTTTATCAATTGTCATATTAAACTAATTAATAAATTTTAGATAAACTATAGTAGTACAAAGTTAAATAATTAAACCATACTTTAGTCTGGTTACAGGCTTCCAGTGAACTAGCAAAGATTGTGAAAGTGCTCATGCAGTAGTCAAAGTAATGGTATAAATATAAATTTAAATAATTAAACCATACTTTGATCTGGTTTGGTCCGGTACAACGGTTCTCATAAAATGAAAATCGGTACCAGACCGATCGAGCATCATTTATAATTTTATACCATACTGGTCCGGTTCAAATTTATACTGATTCAGTCACTAGATGTTGCGTCTCTGCGATCATACATTATTTTGAAATATCCATTGGTGTCACCCCTCGAGAACTTTCACCGTTGATGCATTTTTTCACGTGCATGTGAAGAACAAAAGTCCTATCATAAAAGTATAAATTTATTAAGTGTCAAATAAATATAATAGTTAAAATAATGTATTAAAATTTATCATTTTTTACTAAAATAGTCAAAGATGACTAAATATGAAGGGAGAGAGGCGGTATAATTTTATATCAATGTTACAATAATAGAACTATAACAAGTGGTATTAGATTAGTATATTTATAAACTTATAATAAAGGAATAATGAAGAATAATATATAAATTAAGAATATATGCATTTAAAGAGAATGGTAAATAAAGTTGAGACTCAATTATACAGATCGATCAGAGTAGAGGTGGGCATATCGATTTGGTTTAACTCAACAATTGTTCTAAAAATCAGCATAGTCGGCCTAGTCAGTCCTAACTGTAGAGGACTAATTTGCCTAGTCGGCCAAAAAATCGGCCCAGTCGATCAAAAAATAGGCCTAGTCGTCCGCCTAGGCGCTAGGCGCCCCTCAACCGTTCGATTAACGCCTACTGAGTTTTAGAAAAATGAACCGAACCGTACCACACCGAACTAAACTGAACCGAAACCGGACCGTATGCAATTTGGTTTGAGTTGCATAGTATTCCTTCCAAACCGTATGAAACCGAACCGAACCGAAATCGATAAGAACCGAACAAAACCAAACCGAACTAAAAATTCAAAAAACCTTCATATATTATAGGGGTGGGCACGGTCCGGTCCAATATTTTGCCAAACTCCTACCCGTACCGTGACTATTGAAACGATTTGGTTTGGTTTGGTCATAGATCTAAACTCGTTCGATAGGGTTCCATTTTCAAACAGGAAGGTACCATGTCATACCAATATCAAACAATGCTACTTTTCCAAGTGTTTAAGGAGAAATTAAAGTTTAACGATCCTCCAAAAATCCACACAATTTACCAATTTTCATATTAAACTTATTAATAAATTTTAGATAAACTATATTAGTACAAAGTTAAATAATTATATCATACTTCGGTCCGATTCCAGGCTTCCAGTGAACTACCAAAGGTTCTGAAAGTGTCAATGCACTAGTCAAAGTAATGGTATAAATGTAAATTTAAATAATTAAACCATACTTTGATCCGGTTTGATCCGGTATCGGTTATCATTTTATGAGAACCGGTCATGGCATTGTTTGGAATCGGTCCGATCCGGTTCGGGATAAAAATTTTGAGATCCGTTTCAAATCCCGTTTTTTTGTGTCGGCTCGGTATTTTAGCCCACCCCTAATATATTACCCTAGATTAGAGGGTAGGGAGTTAAAAGTGTAGGAAATTATGAAGGATGAGTTGTATTTATTAGGGGTGGGCATAAAAAACCGTAACCGTATAACCGCGCCTAAAAACCGGAAAACCGCCGTTTTTCCCGGTTAACCGAACCGCAAATTTTTAAATCCACGGTACGGTTAACCAACCGTGAGAATAAACGGTTCGCGGTACGGTTGCGGTTTTAGAAATATGTTATTATCGGTTAACCAATAACCGGTATGTTCATGTCTGGTCATGAACTTCACGTTCTCAGAGAACTTGGAAAGATAAATATGTATCCAACACATCCAGATACATCAATTCTAATAAACATGTGAAGAAACCAAATTCTGTTTGTCACTATAGAATTTTTAATTTCATATTATTAATAATTAGTCAAAGCTTTTGTGAGTTATAATTAATTAGCCCATTCTGCAATCGTGAGACTTGAACATGTGTATTCTTTTTTTGAAGCAATTGAACACGTTTATTCTTATCAAGTGTATTTTATCTTTTCCTGTATTTCACTCTCAAAATTTATTTTTCTCTTGTTTGGACTTAATTAATATAGAAAGAACATGGTGTGTGTATATATTTAATCAATGGTTTGATGGTTTTTGGTTAACCGGTTTGTGGTTAACCGAAGTTTTGGTTAACCGATACTCGGTTAACCGAAACTTTGGTTAACCGATACTCGGTTAATCGAAGCTTTGGTTAACCGATACTCGGTTAACCGAAGTAATAGATTTCTCGGTTAACCGGAAAGTTGGTTAACCAAAACACGGTTAACCAACCACGCCCACCCCTAACTATTTATAAGACTTTTTATCCAACGGTTCTATAAGTTGTAGTCATTGGAGGGACTCCCCCTCCCCCAATAGTGAGGGCAACATGCAGTTCAGCCAAAACAAAGAAAAAATCAAACCCAATAGTCGTTGGAAATTGGGGGTGTTCCACAGTTGGGTTTTGTAGATTTTGGATATGATTGGTTCAATTTGGGTTGTTTCACTTTTGGGAAAAACAAAAGAGTGAATCGAAGCAACTACATTAGTCAGCTTTGGTCGATTTTGGTTGAGTTATTTGTTATATCAATTTTGGTCGGTTATGTAATGCTTCGGTCAGTTATAGGATGGTTTGGCCCGTTCAATTGATTATTTATGCTCAATCCTCAAACCATAAAACAAACAGCCTATGATTTTATCTATTTTCACCGAACCGGTGGGCGTAGCTCAACTGGTAGCAAGGGAGTGCCACAGGGGTTAGGTCCTGGGTTCGAATTCCGTCAACTGCGATGAGAGGTTACTATGCTAAAAATGCATAAGGCCTCTGCAAGTACCGGGGAAAATTAAAGCCACACTCTCTATCTGTCAGATTGGGATTATAGTCCAATTTACATCCTCCGAACGTACCTTTCGGTCGGGGTTGGGAGGCCCTTAGGGATGGGGTGTCATTTTTTTTTTATCTATTTTCAACGAGATCAGTTTTCATGAGTACAATTTTCATCAGTTCAATTACGGTCGGTTGCCCGTTGATTACCGTTTATGTTATTTTTGTTCAGCCATACCCTAAATGCCCGCCTTAGTATCAAATCCAGTCTAAGATATTCTACAAGTATGATTCCAAATCTACATAACTTCTTGTTCTGGTTCTAGAACTGGATCCATCCCTACCCATGCAAAGAGTGAAGGCATGCATAGAATTTGGATCCTCAAAAACCCGAAAACAACTAAGAGACGAAGATTGACTTTGACGGAAGGCATAAAAAGGGAAATTAGAGTATTGGTACTTAAGGAACACTTGAATGCTTGAAAGGTATGAGTTGCAAATGAGGACATCAATACATAAGTTTGGAAGATTTTATATTGATTCATAAAACCACCCCTATTGAATTGAAGTAAAGGATCTCTGGTTATCTTGAAATAATTCTTGTGTAAAAATTTAGAGACGATTAGAACTATAAATGTAAGAAATTGATTAAGAAAGGGACTATTAAACTTCATTCAAGCATTTTAAAATAAAACTCTCTATAAGAACTTGGCTATTTAATAAAACTTTTAATCTCAAATTTTATGCATCAAAATTTCATCATATTAAATTTCATTTTGTGCTATTTAATAAAACTTTTAATGATGCTTCTGAAGGTAAGTTTTAATGTTTCCTCTGTTCTTTTTTAATTTTAACACTTTCATTTTCACATTTATCAACACATAACTTTTCTCTTAATATATTTAACTCATTATTAGTATAAAATTAAAAAATTCAGATTTTGGAAAATTAACTTGAGACAAATTTAAAAATATTTTTCAAAAATTAAATTCCTACAACATGAATAAATTAAATATAATTAAAATGGAGAATGTGAATAGTCTAAAATTCTACATGTTGCAAAGGAACTAGGTATTATTTGATTATAATTAAAATATATCAACCATAAGTTAATTTTTTTATCATTCAAATCCCAATTCCCAAAATCTGCAATGAAACTATCATTTTCGAACAGGGGAATAAGATACTAGTGTAATAGAGAGTGAGGCTTTGTCCCCGGTACTAGAAGAGACCCTATGCATTTTGATATCAAAACATTCAAGGACATACTAACAAATGCGTAAATATTAAATCATACTTTTTCATACTAATTCTGCTACATAAATTATGATAAAAATAATCTACATGTTCAAACATGAAATTTATTACATAAAAGTACATAACTAAATGAAAATGAAATACAATTTTAGGAGCGCATGGCCGCATGCTGTGAAATATGAGAATGACCATATTGCTATGAAAAAATCTCATAAAAAACTCCATCAAGGGACATGAGTTTCCATCAAGAAATCCCATTAAAAAGAAAAGGAATTGGAAATCTAAAGTTTGGGAACACTAATTATTTTGGAAAATAGGTTTCCCATTTTTTATTATTACAGAAACAACTCAAAAATGGGAATTTGAAGCTTCCAAATTTCCTTGACTTCCGAGTTTCTGGCAAATGGTGACCTGTCAAAAGTTTCCGTGCTTCTGATCAGATCAACTAACACTACAGAAGTTACTATCAAGCAGCACTATTCTCTGGAATATTTAATGTCTCATTCTTCTGCAAGGAATAAATGTGTAGAGAGAAAGTTCTACGGTTACACAAGCAACAAATGATCAAGATTTACAATCTACAGAGTCAGAGATCATTCACATGCCAGCTTCGTGTCAAAGCTGCTCAAACAGATTGCAAAAGCCTGGAAGGCAGAAAGTGGGTAACAATAATCCATGGTAAAAGTATCCTTCCCAATCTTCCCAAACTGCAAAATTACCTTTTCTTGTTCTCCAGCCGGAATGTTATTACTGTTATTACTATTAGAAGGGTCAATTGCAGCCACCAGCTGAAAGTTCTTAACAGAAGCCACCGTGACTCTTCCTTTAAAGTTCAGGCACCAACACTGCAACTGTTCATGCCATCTAGGGGCCTTGTTTTTTAGGGTTAGTGGCTCTTGAGAAGGCGGGACCGACTCTTTTGTGTCAAAGCATTGCTGGAATGCTGTTGGAGTGGGGGCCGTCCCCCCCAATAGGACAGATGTGAAAGGGATGGTTTGCATGGTGCATTGCATTCTCCTGGGGCCTCTGGTGCGTAGGACGTTGAGTTCGTAGGACATAGTGGCGATACTGTAATTACATGCGGACAGCGTTGGAGATACTTGTTTGGCATGGAATCTCCTGCTTGCTTGGCCGTTTTGATGCACTGCTCCACCGTTTGGGGGTTGGCTGTCATATACAGTGAACTTGGTGCGAAGAAAGTTGGACCTGGCGAAAGCCAAAAGTATACATAATATGAGGAAATTAAAGATAAAACTAAATACTCCTTCCCTTCCTTAAAACGTGGCCAAGTTTGACCGGCACGGAGAATAATGAAGTAAAAACTGTGTGGTTTAGAATTTTACAGAGGAGGGGAAAATAATAGGAATCACAAATTTATTAAATGAAAGGGGAAGTGACAGAGTGTTTTGGGACATCTCAAAAAGTAAAGATGACAAAGTTTTAAGGGACGGAGAAGTATCTCTTTGGTAGGCTTGGCTTCATATAGCTTTTCAGTCAATATTTTTACAAAACACTTGCTTAGTTCACTGGAGGAGATACTTTTATGACACGACTTATATTAAAGACAACAAATTTTGATTTTCCTTGAATATTAGGACAAGTACTCCCTCCGGTTCTTAATGAAATTTACATTTGACTTCACACATATTAAGGAAATAAATTTGACTTTACTGTTGAGTACACTGTTTGACACTGTTTGGTGTAGATTTGTTTGCCAAATAAGGAAGTGTAAAGTTTTATATGGGACGGCCAAAAAGGAAAGTGTAAAGTTAATTAAGAACCGGAGGGAGTATGTTAGTATGATAGCCAATGGAATAACCATCAATACCAGACAATTAGTAATAGTCATTTGATTTTTGGTAACTCAGTAACTGTATGGGCAATATTTTTGTCCTAAATTTGAAATTTTAGGTTTTTGTCCAATGGGCATGGAATTACTGTATCTGTAATGTTATGGAAATTTTCCTTTTTGGCTGAAATTGATACTTCTGCTTTTACTTTTAGATAACATTTAACATTTTCTTGAATTTTATTTAATTTGATAATACTTCATATGTTTTTAAAAGTATACTTCCATAATTAGGGAGATTCAGCAAATTTGGAGCCTTGCCAAACAGGTTCAAAAAATTTCTGTGTATCTTGGGGGAAGAGGGGAGAGTTCCAGTTCTTGGGAAGTGGTGAAGGAATTGTGTGGGGGCAATACATATTATTGTGTGTGATAACAGTTATGCTAACTCCCAACAAAAGCAGTGAACATTCAACGAAAAAATGAAAAGCTACCTCAATTTTCCAACGTATGTATTGCTTGCTCGTGAAAAATCATCTCCAACCAATGATATCACAAAGTCTGTGCTTATTGCCCTTCTCATCTTTTTTGCTGCTAGCAACAATTTATCACTGTCATCCGCAGCTGAACAAATATCAAATATGATTAGCACTTGGTTAAATTTACATTTAGTGCATCAAGTTATCAATCAATGTGGAAAAGGGGCATTATGCATCTAAACTAATGTGTAATTACATTTGAGGCTCCGATTATCACTACCACTACTACAAATTGCTACCGCCATCATGTTTGACAACTACTCTAGTCTAACTTTGGTAAGGTACAACGGCATCAATGTATTTGTTGTTTAACACTTTTAAACTAAACTTACCATAAGTAACCTGTCTCAAATCCCCCCTTTTGCAATTTGATTTAAAAGAGTTGCTTCATTTGGTCAACTGAACTAAACAAAATCATTTTTGGAAACTGGACTCTTTTTTGGACGAAGGGAGTATTAGTTGTCACCATATTTCCCTATTGAACAGGCCAGCATTTTTTGTGGGGAGGGCGGGGGTTAAACAATGCCCAGGAGTTGGATGTGTTGTGGCATTTGAAAAAGGCATTGAAATATAAGTGAAATTTAACACATCTTACATGGAGTCAAACCAAGGTAGAGGCGATAAGTTGAAGTGGCTCGATCTCTTTTAATAAAGCACTGGATTGGAGATTCACGAGGCCCTGGCTGATCAATATAAATAGGAAAACGTGTGTTTTTCAGTTCAAAATAGAAACGGAAATCTTATTAAGGAAAACAATATCAAATGAAGTTGTTTAACAAAATATTACCTGTTTGAGAGAAATGGGAAAGGTTATCCTCCCACATTCCTCAGGAGTCTTAACAATCTCCTGAGTGATTTCCCTCCATGACTTACAAACAGATGCACAAAAGAGAACAACTGTCCGGGCAGGCCAAGATGTCTCACTGTTTTCAACTCTCTCGATTATATCCAAAAGCAGTTCAGGCGGCAGATTTGCCCACTGCCCCTGCTCATTTGGTTCAGATTGGATACAATCGGGTGCTATATGTGATCGTGCCCTACTTCTCCATTGCCGTCCTTCGAACCCTCTCCTTGATACACTCCCAATCCCATCTTTCATCTCCTTCACAATGTTCTTGAAAGACATCTCGACCACTGATCACACCAATCAAGCCCTTCCCTATATATATGACAAATCCAAAATACTGAATCAGGAAATGATTCTTTTCAATTTCAAATCATAGTTTTATTCTGATCAGTCTAACCACTACATCCAGTTTTTGACATGAACATCAAACGTAGACTGTACTCATTTGAACGTTTATTTCTAGGTCCAAATTAGTTCAATCTTTTCCCGGAAATTGTAAGCAACATTTCCAGAAATGCGAAGACTTTTTTTAACCAGATATTGAAAATGTGAGATAATCGTAGTTGTTAGACATTCTGGCAACTATGGATACCTTAATTTAAAAAAAAATCAAACTTTTCGGATTGAAATAACTAATAAGCATCATCCAAAGTTGAAGATGAACCTGAGCTAAGAAGATGTAGAGATCGAATGTGATCGAGTAAGACAGTGAGTGGTCAGAAAGGAGAACCGCGGCCGGCCAATGCGGACACGAGTCGTCCGGCGGCGAATTGAAAAGGCTTAGAGATGATCTCTCTGTTCGGAATTTAGGGTCGTCAGAACCACCGCGGCGCCACCAACGCTGCCGTCTCCTCGTGCACCGACGGGAAAAGAAAACGCTTAGGTCAAACGACCAGCTCGGATATACCGATGCCTCCTCCGCTCAGTGTTCTATCGCGCTCTCTCTCTCTCTACAACACCCACACAATTCACATCACATTTGATTTTTCACGACGGAGGTCTGATCTCCCTATTTAACCACTCCCATTTTCACAACTTTCTCTTTCTTTTTCATTTTTCTTTTTTATTTTTTTTCTCTGGCCCAGTGCAATCAATGATGAGGCAAGTCAAGTCAATAGTTGGAATTTGAAGTACTTCGTAGTATACAGCGTATACCCATACTCCCTCCCTACTTAAAAGTTCTCTACATTTTCATTTTTGATAAGTTACCCTTTATAAAATACTTAACAACTTTAGTTTATATATCTTTTATATCTCATTTAATACTTTTACACACTTTCTCTTACTTTTTCTACCATGTTCACTACTTCTACTACTTTACTCCTTAAATAATGTGTCTAACCTGAGAGCATCTTCAATGTTACAATATACACGATACACATGTGGTATGAGAAATAACCACATAAATACTAGCAAATAAATTATCTCTCTCCTTATTTGAATGATTTTATACGATTTTGGTAAGTTTTCTCGACAATGTCAAGAAGATCGTCTAGATGTTGACATTGCAGAGAAAACCTTATCAAAATTATACAAAATCATTCAAATAAGGAGAGAGATAATTAATTTGTTAATATTTTTGTGGTTATCTCTCATGCCACATGTGCACCGTACACATTGTACCATTGGAGATGCTCTAATGTAATGAATAATAAAATAAGGAGGGAGTATAATACTTCGTACATTAATATGGTCTAATTTATGAACAAGTTTGATGGTTCTATTTTTAGGCTTATAAGTCAACTTTTTCATTAAACATATAATTTTTAATTTTGCTGAATTGTGTTATAATAAGAAAAAATAAGTTTGGAGTTGCTTTTTTTGTTGTATTGGTTGAAGTTACCATAGATGGTCATTTTAACTATTTTTTCATATTTTTTTTCATAAATTAGTAGAATCAGTCAAGCCAACAATTATTACCTGAATTTCATAAATTTCATCATAATTAATCAATGAACCCGATTTGGGTACTAACAAGCGGGTTCTGAGTATTTTAATATGGTCTAATCTATGTTCATTGTTTTAGATTCATACATATAACTATATTATATATTCATAGTATGGACTCGTGCATAAAATTATACCACATACTTATGTTCTTCTAAAATATTCTAGAGGTTCACATATTGCATACCATTTTAATCTGTTCTAAAAGTGTGATGCGAATTATAGGCATTCTTAGAGCCTTGTGGTGACTCTGTTTTTTGACTTATTGCATCAAACACGTAATTTTTTATTTTGCGTGCTGAATTGTGTAATAAAAAAAAAGTAAGATTTGAATTGCTTTTCTGGCTGAATTGGTTGAAGTTACTGTAGATTATCAATTTAGCTATTTTTCATATAATTTTTTATTTATTTTATTAATATAAACTATTTTTAATATATTTTTTTATAAATCAACAGAATCAACCAATCCAGTCACTTTAGCCAGAACTTCATAAATTTTAGAAGAAACAACCGATTTAGCCAATTTCGTTGTCACCAAACGGGCTCTTAGGCAACTCTCAAGCAGAATTAATTAAGTAGGATTAATTGAACTTAACTCATCTTGGGTTTAAACAAATCATAGGCGTCAAATAGAGTCCTGATTTAAGAGAGGAACTTGACGGAAATTTTTAAAATAGTATTTTTATGTTTACTAAATTTTTGATATGCACATGCATGTTTAAACATATAGCAAATCAAAAAAAATGTTTAAAATTATATCATTTTATTAGAATTGATGAAACTCGAACTCGAACTAAGCTAAACAATTTCGACTTGACTTAAACTCGACTTGAACTCGTACTGGGTCTTTCTTTATCAAACCCGGCTCGATTTAAGCCAAACTCGAGCCCGACTCGCTTGATTAGCATCCCGAGTTTCGTCTTATACATTCATGCATATATCGTTTGTTCTTGCACCTTCTTTCTCCCGCAAGGTGCGAGAATTTTTGCCCAATGTTAAAGTCATGCTTGTATGTGAGACTATCATATGTGAGATTGCTATGAGAATTTTTAAAATAGTATATAAAATTATCATATACTTTTTGACGAATTATTAGATTAGTTAGATTCTCAATTTACCAACTATTGCGTGTATGTAAATTTTGCCTATATTTTATAGAGCTATGTGATTCAATGAACTGACTATATGCACTGACAATATGATTTTATAATGAATTGTGAGAGCAGTGTTATTGAATACACTATATTATGTGAATGCTAAGCTAGAACATACAAAGTATAAGTATGAAATTATAAATGTTGAGTGCACTTAGAAGTATGAAAAAATCATTTCGAATTAGCTTTGCTCTACAAGCAATGAGATATCATGTCTAGGGCTAGTCTATCTCTTGTGGAGTTATATGCATACATTTCTGAGTAGTTCATTTTATGTGCTTTCAAGGAAGTTTCAATATTAATATAGCCTATTTTTTTATAGTATTCGATGTGAAGAATATTTTTATCCAAGATGCAGTCTAATTCTCTAAAATGCTGCATACACTCTACGACTCTCTACACTCTTCCACTCTCTTTCATAGGGATTTAAAAGGTTCCACATATATCCACAATACTCTATATAGTTCCAAACTATTCCACAAGCTCCTAGAGAATTTTGAAATTCTCTAGAGATCTCCTTAATGTTCTAGAAAATTTTACACTTTTCTAAAAAGTTATAAAAATCTCTAAAAACTCTCCAATTAAGAAGAAATCTAAACATAAAAATATTGTCGAGACATATAATATGGGGATTGACTATGATTACGAATATTTAGTTGTTTTAGGATGTTCAAATGAATGTAATCGTAACTGAAGCATGCAAAAGGAGGTATTGCTCACGTCAGCATTCGACATCCACAAAAGCTCGAAGAAAACGTTGATACCAATGTGTATAATATGCCCTATGAAATACGTAGTATTAAATGCCTGTAGTGAACAATGTGGGTTCTTCCGTTTGGATTGTATTTCTAAACACAAAACTAGTTATTGATTTGACACTAACATTTAAATGCGTTTGGTAACACTAAAATTGACTAGATCAACTAGATTCGTTGAAATTTCCGATTGAATTGGATGAATTGACATACTCCTGAATTATGGAATATTTATATTTTAAATATGTAGTATATTTTACAAATAAAATGAAAATCAAATAAATTGAATGACAAAATAGCTAAATTGTCTTCCACAACAACTTCACCCAATTTGGTCAGAAAAGTAACTATAATCTTACTTATTATGATTATTGCACAATTGAACATGCAAAAACAAATTTTACGTGTTTGAAAAAAAGTTTACACATAAGATTGATAAGATGAAAATAGAACTTTTGAAAAGAGCTCTTAAGTTATGCAATTGAGATGTACTCCATGGTTTATATTTAGATGATAGAAAAATATCGAAAAAACACAATTATTTTCATGAAGTAAGAACCTTCTCTTAAGATGGGAAAAGAAGTAATCTTAAAACGAGATGTGGTTCCCTTCTATATTTTAGCTCAAGGCCTGAAAGATGACCATAATATTAAATTATTATAAGAAGTACCATTTTCCCAACATTAATAATTTTGACATAAAATATCAGTAATTAATAAAATAGTGTACATATATATATATTATAGATTAACTTGTGAGTATATAAAAAGCTCAAATTTAATTGTTGTAAAAGCTCCCTGCTTTGTTAGGACCGGCTATAGATAAACTCTTGATTAAGAAATTTAGTCCAAAAAACCAATAAATTGTACGTATCCTCAAAGTTGCTCAAAAAGCAAAGTGGTATGGTGCTTAATTCGACTATTAGTTTTAAGTAAAGTAATCCATAAACCAAATTGACATCATGTAGTGTTAATCATCACCAACTCAGCAAAGATACATAGGAGGCCACACCTCGAGTTTTACAGCAAATTATGTGACGGAGTAAAGGGTAAGAGAGAGGAATCAGTGTAATACAACAATGGCTGCTCTGAGAATGTTAAACCCTATATTTCTCCCTCTGGCCATTCAGTTGTTTCTTCTTGTAGCTCTCATCTCTGTCAAAGTTATCTTCGAAGAGCATTTTGATGATGACAAATGGAGCGACCGATGGGTTGTGTGTGACACCTGAAAAAAAGATGACGACACGTCTGGAGTGTGGAATCACACATGTGGCAAATGGAATGGAGACCACAAAGGTATTCAGACCCACTATGAGCCCGTTTGGTGAGCCTTTTTCGGCTTTTTCACCAAACACGTAACTTTTAATTTCACGCGCTGAATTTTGTAATAAGCAGAAAAAGTAAGGTTGGAGTTACTTTTCTAGCTGTATCGGCTGAAGTTACTGTAGAAGACCATTTTAGCTATTTTTACATATAATTTTTTTCTTTATTTTATTAATAAAATATATTTTAAATTTAATTTTTTCATGAATCAGCAAAATCAGCCAATACAGCCACTTCAGCCAGAACTTCATAAATTTCAGCAGAATCAGCCGATTCAGCCAATTTCAGTGTTACCAAACGGGCTCTATATGTTTTATGCAATTTCAGCTGAGTTTCTTGAGTTTAGCAACAAGGACAAGACTTTAATATTCCAATTTTCATTCAAGCATGAGCAAAAGCTTGACTATGCTGGTGGGTACATGAAATTGTTCAGTGGCGAGATTGATCACAGGAAATTTGGTTGTGATAACCCATACAATATTATGTTTGGGCTGAACATCTATGGCTATATAAAAACCGAATTAATCAGAAATAAAGTTGAACTGTTGTTCCATTGATCTCACCGGCATGGTTTATAATACAGCAAAAGAAAGAGTCCTAATAGGACTACTAAACATTACGTAAGTCCTAATACCTCCTGGAAGCTATACTTCCGTAAGTTTATTAAAAACAATATATAATAAATAACTATTATTATTTAACACCCCCCCTCAAGTTGGAGCATGTAGATTACAAATGCCCAACTTGCGTAATAAGAACTGAAATTGAGAAGGCCCCAAAGCTTTAGTGAAGATGTCAGCAAGCTGTAATGTAGTCGGGACATAGGAGGGAGCAATAAATCGATCTTGAATAGCATCACGAACAAAGTGACAATCCATTTCAATATGCTTCGTACGTTCATGG